CGGAGTGGCCGGGGACGCGGTGCGGGGAAGCGCGCCGGGCTGAAGTGCCGGAAGAGGAGAGCTGTCGCTGGGGCCCGGGCTCACGCGGGCGACAGCGGGGCTGGCGGGTGCACCCGGCGGGCGATGGCACCCGGCGCGAGCGCCCCGAGGTAGCGCGGGCGAGGTCGCGGGACGCCGGCGCGCACACCCGCCTCCCTCCCCGACCTTGGCATTGGCCTGGCCCAGCCCAGGCAGCTATGGGGCTCCTGCGGCTGCTGGTCCTGGCGGTGTTGGCGTCGGAGCGCGGGGTGGCTGGTGGAGCCGAGACGGTCGGAAACTCCAGCAGGGGTAAGGTCGGGGACGCCTGGCTTCTGCAATCCAAAATTGCATTTGCATTTCTTGCAAGGTCAAAATCCGCCTGGGGTCTGTCCACCTAGCAGGGGAGGTGGTGCGTTCAGAACTGGCACGAATGGATCGGAGTCCTTTCCTGCAGTGGAAACTCCCATTGCTAAGGAGGCATTACTGTCAACCTCCTAACTGAGGCTGGGGAAATGGGAAGAGGTAATTCTTTTTTTCAGACACATTATCTCCCTTTGGGAGCAGCCATGTTTGTGGCTTTAATTTAACATACGAAAGCGCCCCTTTGCTACCTAGTGACTTATCTGAACTTCTGGACAGCTAAGCTTGGCGATGAAATAAGGGCTTTATGATTGATGGCCCTCCAGGCTGCAAGGGGGCTTTTACACTCCAAAATCTAGATGCTTTTCACGTTCGTTATGTTCTGCAGAATTTGAGAGAAAAAGTGAACTCAGAATGATACTTTAGATGGTAGGTCATGTGCTTGGTCAATGGGTTTTAGCAACAGCTTGTGGTTTGTTTATATGAAATGTAAAAAGCACTAATTGTGCTTGGTTGATAATCATGTGCTTTTCAGTGAAGTAAAGCTCATTCTCAGTTTTGTTTTGACCTTAAGAGTCTAGTTGCCGTTCCAAAACAAAATATTTTCTGCATAATATGATTATCTTTCTAAACCTTTGAAAGCCCTTGTGCAAACTGAATCCTAGAATCTTAGTGTTGGACTAAGGCCAAAGCTGAAAAGGACAATTATATTTTTGCAGAAAAACCTTGTTTATGACAGGGCACTAACATTCACTGCGTGCAGTATGTGCCAGGTGCTCTTTGTGTGCGGTATTATTTAATCCTCACAACCTTCTGAGGTAATATCGTTCTCACCTGGAAGACAATGAAGCTGAGGCCCAAGAATCTCGTTACACATGGGAGCAGCTAGTAGGAACACAGACAGGATTTGAACCCAGATGTGTCTCCCTGCAAATTTCAGGATCCTTCCTCTTCAGTAAAGCTGCCTTCCTGTAAACGTACAGTATTCCTGCATAGCATGGTGCTTTATCCATAATCCTTCTGTGAATCCTCATTCCTCAAAATAGCCTTATGAGAGAGGTAGAAGAGGTGCTAGCTCCATTTTAACAGGTGAGGAATTTGAGAGATTGAGTCTGTAGTTGAACCAGGCTAGCCCCTGAGTTAGGAGGGCTGAGATCCAGACCTTTTTTATATCTAGGTTGGTGTTTTAGTATTTAATATCTAGAACTTTTTACACAAAAGTTGAGAACTGTGAGTAATGATTTGGAGATTAATGTTTTTTCAGACACCATTTCTTGCCTTTTTCTGTGCTTACAGCACTGATAGTACGTCAACAATATTATTCTTTTTGCTTTGCGTTAGTGTTCTTTGCAGGTAGGGACAATATGTGGGGACTTAACTGCCGAGTGGTAATAAAAGCTGATATTTTCCACATCTGTCGGAGAAAAATCTGACATATGGAATTAAGGAAGACTTAGTTCAGGACTTGCATGTCTTCCTGGAAAATGGCTGGATTGCTGTTTGATGATTCTGATAATGATACAAACTGAAGAAATTGAGCAACTGCTGTAATTTAGGAAAATTTACCCAGCTTGAAGAGGATGAGCTAACTTGCACAACTTGAGTATTGGCTTGAATGCTAGGTGAGTGTTTGAAGGTGGTAGATCCAGTTCCTAGAATGTTTGAGGAAAGTGCTTTCTGTGACCAGCTGGGCACAGGAGATGGATCGTACATTTAAATAATTTTCCTTTTTCTTGGAGTCCCAGTTCTCTGCTACCCTTAACATCTTTCATGATGATTTTAGATTCATATCCAGTAACTCACATGGAATTAAATGGCGATTGGAGTTGAGAGCAGAGTGTCATTTGGTCACTCCAGTGTTTGTGCTATGGATAGTACTTTGAGCAAGGTAGCAGCTACTTGTGTAGTTAGGTGCAAGTGATCTCTTTGTCTCAAAAGTATGTGAGAAGGTAGTATGTTCATTTTTGTGTTTCCTTTTATCTTTTAGGGCTAATGAAAATTAGAAGATAAAAATGAGAAATTGGGAAGGGCAATTGAATGTCGGCTAGCTCAAGTAGCTGAACTATTTTTGTTTTTAATATTCCATCTGAAGGGAATTATGAAGACTAAGCTTTGACAGATCTCTCCTAGAATTTGGTTGTCGTGTTGAAGCACAAACAATGGAGGTAAATTTGAGGTAAATTTTAGTAAAATAGTAAAGAGGAAGAGTTGGAAATTTTTAAGGTTGCAACACAAGGATTGGATTGGGAAAGAAAAGGAAAAGATTAGTATTAGGCAGCTCTTTTTAGAGTGGAATTATTGGAAAGAAAGAGCGACTCTGGGTAAGACTGGAAGACAGGTATGAAAACTAGAAAAAAGTCCTCTTCTGTGGCAGAAAATGTTTTCGGCAGAAAAAGCAGAGCCACCACTTTTTAGACTAGGAGAGCTACCGCGCGAGTAAGTATTCCATCTTGTTGGTGGCCATTTGCTCTGTAATATCATGTGATGTGCTTTTTGTCCTCCCACTTCCCAAGTCATGAGATCTAATTATGCCTCATAAAATGCTTCTAATGAATCCTTTTCCAGATGGCTTAGAGGTGAAGTTAAGCTCCTGGTAACTTCTGCAGGGTGTATTTTGGGTATGTGTCTTCTTTTGCCAAGTCTGTTTTTGTGAGTAGAGATTAAATGCAGTTTCTGCCAGATTGTGGTGTTACAGTTGTCTTGACTTGCAGTATCTTTTCATTGTCACTCTATGGAAGTCTCTTTCTCACCTTGATGTTTATGATGAGCTGTCCCCTTCTTCCCATTGGTTTATTTGTAGGACTTTTCTTTTTGCCTGACTTTTTTTTATTTTTTTAAATAAGGAGAGGAGCCTCTGAAGCACTGGAAAGGCAATGGAAGTTAATGATGCCACTTTAATGTGTAGCGTTGAAGAGTCAAAAAAAAAAAATGTTTCCCATTCATTTGATACTTTCAGCAGCCAAGTGATATATGCAGCACGTTAACCTCCATTTTACCATAAGGGAACTGAAGCCCAGAGGAAATTAATTGCTTGCCTGGGGTCACATAGTTCAACCATTATTTAACAAACATTTACTGTGTGCCAACTAGGTGACTGGTACTGTACTAGGCACCAGATCATCAAATATGACAGAGCCCTGCATAGCCAGGGGTCAAACCACAACTGGTTTGGTTAAAATGCAATCCTCTATAAAAATTGTGAAATGACTATTTGACTGCCAAGGTGGTGTTGCTAAAGTATTTTCACAGAGAACTTAGGTTAAAGATAGCTAAAAATAGGAGAAAAAATATATTTATCCTTCCCTTATTCATCAAACATTTTGTTAGGAGTTCTCAAACCTGGCTGAACATTAGAATAATCTGGAGAACTTAAAAAAAAGTGTATTGGTCAAGAGACAACTAGGAATTGAAATTTAAAAGAGAAAAAAATTGACAGTAGCATCAGGAAACATTAAATATTTGGGGATAATTTTATGGGATATGTAAAGACCTCTACAGAAAAAACTGTACAACAGTCTTGAGAAAAATTGAGGAACTAAGTAAATAGAATATCTCAGATTCATTGGTTAGAAAATTCTATGTTTTAAATTATTATTTATCCCTAAATTAATCTATACATTCACTGCCATCCCAGTCAAAATCCCGAGTATTTTATGTAAATATTGACAAGCTGATTTCTAAAGTTTATATGGTAATGGAAAGGGTCACAAATACTGCAGTTGAGACAGTTTTGAAGAGGAACAACACGTTTGGGGCAGAAATTAAGACAGTGTAATATCGGTGTCAGGACAGATAAATGAGCCAGTGGAACACCATTGAGAATCCAGAAACAAACACATGCTCACCTGAGTTAGGTGAAAGGGAGAACTGCAGAGCAGTAGAGCAAGGGTGGTCATTTTAATGAAGGTTGCTGTGTCAAGTAGCTATACATATGGAAAACTAACCTGGACCCCTTTCTCACACTGTGCATAAAAATCATTGTCAAGTTGATTATGAATTACGAAAGGCAAAACAGACTTCTAGGAGTTAATGTCGGGAAATGTATCTTCATGATCTTGGAATATGTTGGCTAAGAGTTCTTTAAAATGAAAGGACTAATCAAAAAGGATAAACTTAAGATGTTGGACTAATTGACATTAAAACTTCAGTTAATCTAAA